TCATTACTAGGAAACAACATTTTTTCACGTGCTAGGTTCACGTCGTTCCTAGCAAAGACAATAACATTTCCTTGTCCAAATACCACGCATGACAACTTTATATGAAAAGGTTTTGTAAGGATATTACTTATTCATCAAATAAAAAATGGATAATGATACCGGAGACGATTTTCATGAAACGAAATTGCGGGACGATCTATGTGGCAAGCCACGTGAGCAGACACAAGGCATATTTGCCACCTAGACATTCTAAAATGTCGAAAACCTGGTTGGTCCATTTTCTTTCATTTTCGCCTTCCTCTCTCTCTGCTCCAAACCCCCCCATTCGGCAAACCCGCTGGCAACACTGAGTCGTTTCTCCTGGCTCCAAGATTAAGGATGAAGGCGGCTGAATGTCAAAATCAGCATGGGCGAAGCCTGATCTGTTGAGTGGTGAAGGTGGTACTCATCACGCATCGCGGCGGCAACGGCCGGAAATTGGAAACTCACTGAACCAGTTCGTGCACATCCAGAGGATCTGATTATACACGCGATGGGAACCAGAGGAGGATTTCGGGTTTAAAAGGGGCAGAACAACAAAGTTAGAGTCCCAATTTCGGGCGGGCTCAGCGGCCAAATTCCGACGTTTGTTTGGAAACAACGGTATTTGTTCTTGGCTAGGTATACTCCAAAACTGATCATGGGTAGGGACTCTCCCGTGGGGGGGGGGTACCTCTAAGGCAAAAAATTGGTCCATTTTGGTGGTCTGTTGTTGAGACATTTTTGTGTTCTGTTGTTTGATATTGTTGTTAGGATAATGAAACCCAAATCAGTCATTTAATTCGGTCTAGGTGGCAAATATGCCGTGTGTCTGCTCACGTGGCTTGCCACATAGATCGTCCCGCAATTTCGTTTCATGAAAATCATCTCCGGTATCATTATCCATAAAAAATACTAATTACGAGCCAGAGCCTAATTAAATTCATATCTATTAAAATAAAAATTATTAGTTCAAATTCTTATAATATTAAATAGTTAGGTCCCAGTATATCAAACAAATGAAAAATACTAATTATATTTGCGTCCTATCTCTAAGAGACACTGACAAAGTTCACTTGGTTTTGAAAGCATCGCCATATGATCTGCATCCTTAATCTCCATCACATCGTCCGCCGGAAAATTTTCTATCATCCAACGTTGGAACTCTTCTGGTATTCCTTTGTCCTCATTGCATACAACATAGGCTCGTCTAACAGATCCGTACCCCTTGCTAGAAAACTCATTCGCCTTCGCCAGATCTTGAATGAATAACGATCCTGGCCTGATCAAAGTCTTAGCCAACTCCAAATCCTTCCGAAAGGGGAAAGAAAAAAAAGGCCCAACCGCCATGTAAGTATACCATGCGGTAAGTTTAAGAAGGCTTTTTTTTTTTTTTTAATTAATACAATTAAAGGGTGAAAAATGTGATTATTAAGATTTAAATTTTAAAATTTT